CAGTATGTCGAATTCTCGAGGTGGTGGTGTACGTAGGGCTATTCAAGGCCCAGAGTTTGATCCTTCGTCTGATGAGTCACAGTATCCTGTGCCAGCGCATGTACCAACAGAGGCACCTAGTCAGGATTTCTTTCGGCAGTTTATGGCCGCGATGATGCCTCAACAGAGGAGTTTCATTGATGCTGTGATGCGGCATAACCCACCAACATATTCTGGTTCGGTGGAGCCAGGAGTCCTTGAGTTTTGGGTTGAAAAGATGGAAAAGATATTTCGTGTTGTTCAGGTTCCACCAGATCAACGAACCAATATCGGGGCTTATTTCTTGGAAGGTCGAGCAAATCGGTGGTGGTTAGGTGAGGAAGCCGCGGGAGTGGACCAAGTGGATATGACTTGGGATGAGTTTAAAGCAAAATTAAAAGCTAGGTTTATACCGTCTCATGTTCGAAAAGCAAAGAAGCAAGAGTTGCTGGACTTGAAGCAGGGTTCGATGTCAGTCGAGGACTATTTTGTAAAGTTCAATGAGTTGGAGATGTATGTTCCTGACTACTTTTCCTGTGAGCGAGATAGAGTTGATCATTTTGTAGATGGGTTGCAGCAGAGGATTCAAGAAGCTTTAGCTGTGTTGGATATCAGTTCGTTGTATGAGGCTTACGAGCGTGCTGCTCGATTCTATCAGAAGCAAGAAGTCAGGCAGAAGGGCAGTGAGAAGGAAATGGGGTATCAACATCAGTTTCGAGATAAAGGAAAAGCTAAGGTAGAGGATGAACCAAAGGGTAAAAATAAATGGTGGCAAATATTCAGGTCGGGGCCATCGTATAAAGGGATTTCGATTAAAGAACCGAGTCAAGAGAGGTTTCAACAATCGAGAGTTGTTTGTCGACGTTGTGGAACAAGTCATTCAGGTACCCGTTGTGATAAAGTTCCATTAGCATGTTTTAAGTGTGGTGGTAGTGGTTATATTGCCAAGTTATGCCCAAGTGTGGTAACTGCAAGGGAGTTTCTAGAACCGAGATTTAGGCCATGGCAGCCGCCATCTTCACAGTCACAGGGGAGAGGATTAGGACCATCATGGCGAGGTGGTCGAAGCCAGTCACGTCCATCATCTAGGCAGCTAGGCAGAGGACCTGACCAGCGTGGCAGAATAAATGTGGTTACCCAAGCAGAAGCTGATTATCATCCAGGTGAGGTTTTAACGGGTAGATTTCTGGTTTGCGGTTTTCCTGCTCTTGTGTTATTCGATTCGGGTGCAACGTTCTCGTTCATATCTAAGCGTCTAGTTAGACGATTGGGTCTGAATTCATCAGTAGAAGTGGTAGTGGAAGTTTTACTTCCATCAGGAGAAGTGTTGGAATGCCGAGAGCTTTATATGCAGATTCCGGTTAGTATTGAAGGGGTTGATTTTGTTACTAACTTGTTGGGCATCAAGCTATCCGAGTTCGATGTAATATTGGGGATGGATTGGTTAGTGGCATATCAAGCTCAATTTGATTGTCGAAAAAGATCAATTTCGCTGGTTGGAGCGATGGGCGAACAGGTGAACTATGCAGGATCTGCCAGACAACCTTTTATGAAGGTAATTTCATCCCTATCATTTCAATCATTTATTCGTAAGGGGTTTCCAGTATATCTGTGTGAGGTAAGAGATTTGACGCAAGGGGAGCAGCGATTGCAAGATATTCCTGTAGTCCGAAATTTTCCTGATGTATTTCCTGATGACATTCCGGGTATGCCACCAGCTCGTGAGGTGGATTTTACTATTGATATTGTGCCGGGTGCTGAGCCAGTATCAAGGGCTCCATACCGGATGGCACCTTTAGAACTAGCTGAACTTAAATTGCAACTACAGGAATTGCTAGATAAGGGTTACATTCGGCCTAGTACATCGCCTTGGGGAGCTCCAGTTTTATTTGTGAAAAAGAAGGATGGAAGTTTGAGGTTATGTATTGACTACCGTGGACTGAACAAAGTCACGGTGAAGAACAAATATCCTCTTCCGAGGATTGATGATCTATTTGATCAACTGAGAGGTGCAACTATATTCTCAAAGATTGACTTGAGATCTAGATATCATCAGCTAAGGATTGCAGAGCATGACATTCCGAAGACAGCTTTTCGGACTAGATACGGGCATTATGAATTCACGGTTATGTCCTTTGGGTTGACTAACGCCCCGGCTGCGTTTATGGAGTTGATGAATAGAATTTTTCAACCATACCTCGATCAGTTTGTGGTGGTATTTATTGACGATATCTTGGTCTATTCCCCAGATAAAAAGACGCATGCAAAACATTTGCATGTAATATTAAACATATTGCGTGCAAGAAAGTTATATGCCAAGTTATCCAAATGCGAGTTTTGGTTGAAGGAGGTTGCTTTCTTGGGGCATGTTGTTTCTGGAAAGGGTATCTCAGTAGATCCTTCTAAAGTGGCGGCAATCTTGGATTGGCCAAGACCTACCAATCAATCAGAAGTAAGAAGCTTTTTGGGTTTGGCAGGATATTATCGGCGATTCGTTCTTGATTTTTCGAAGGTTGCAAAACCATTAACTAATTTGCTGAAAAAGGATGCAAAGATTAACTGGGATCACGAGTGTGAGTCATCCTTTTTAGAATTGAAACATCGATTAACTTCAGCGCCAATTTTGGCTTTACCAGTGGAAGGTGAGGAGTTTGAAGTGTATAGTGATGCTTCGAAGCAGGGATTGGGATGTGTCTTAATGCAGAATCAAAGAGTTATTGCTTATGCATCACGACAACTAAAACCTCACGAAGAGAATTATCCGACACACGACTTGGAAATGGCAGCAGTGGTGTTTGCTTTGAAGATTTGGAGACACTATCTTTATGGAGCCCATTGCAGAATATTTACTGACCATCAAAGTTTGAAATATATCTTCACCCAAAAAGAATTGAATTTAAGACAAAGAAGATGGTTAGAATTGGTGAAGGATTATGATCTTGAAATTGTGTATCATGAAGGCAAAGCAAATGTTGTAGCCGATGCCTTAAGTCGAAAACCAAGGCATAACTTGGGCTTCATGTCGGTTGCTGATGAACTGTGCCAAGATTTAGCGCGGATGGAAATTGAGGTACTTGGACGGGGTATGACTCGGGGATATTTGCAAATGATACAAGTTGAGCCTGAAATTTATGATCGCATTAGAGCGGCTCAAATGGAAGATAATAAAATGGTTGAGCTTGCAGTGAAAGTTCAGTACGGTCAGACTCAAAATTTTAATATTGCTCCAGATGGGAGTCTTCGATTTCACGGGAGGTGGTGTATCCCAAAGGATCGAAATGATTTGAAAGAGCAGATTATGAGTGAGGCTCATAATACACCATACTCAGTGCATCCGGGGGGAAATAAAATGTATCATGACCTACGTCAACATTTTTGGTGGAAGGGCATGAAGAAGGATGTAGCCAAATTTGTTGCACGATGTTTAAATTGTCAAAAGGTAAAAGCAGAACATCATAGACCAATGGGGTTGCTACAACCTTTAGAAGTTCCACTCTGGAAATGGGATTCTATCGCAATGGATTTTGTAACAGGACTTCCAAGGTCAAAGTCGGGAACAGATGCAATTTGGGTAATTATAAACAGATTGACCAAGTCAGCAGTGTTCATTCCAGTACGTATGACTTGGAGTATGCAGAAATTAGCCAAATTATATGTTCATTATGTGGTTAAACGACACGGTATTCCTGAGGTGATCATATCAGATCGTGATCCACGTTTTCAATCTCGATTTTGGCAAAAATTGCAGGAAGCCTTTGGTACTCAGTTGCATATGAGTACTGCATTCCATCCTATGACTGATGGTCAGTCAGAAAGAACTATCCGTATTCTGGAAGATATGCTAAGAGCTTGTGCTATGGAATTTCAAGGGAGTTGGGAAGACCACTTGGATTTAGTGGAATTTTCATATAATAATAGCCATCAAGCAAGTATCGGAATGGCTCCTTTTGAAGCTCTTTATGGTCGAAAATGCAGAACTCCTTTGAGTTGGGACGATATGAGTGATCGACTGATACTGGGTCCGGAAATGATTGAGGAATCGAAAAATAAGATTCGAATTATCAGAGAAAAGATGAAGGCAGCTCAAGATCGTCAAAAGAGTTATGCCGATAGAGCCCGACGTGAGGGTCAATTTCAAAGTGAAGATTTTGTCTTATTGAAAGTATCCCCAATGAAAGGTATTAGAAGGTTTGGGATTAAAGGAAAATTGAGTCCGCGTTATGTTGGACCTTATGAAATTGTCGATCGAGTTGGTGATTGGGCTTATCGGTTAGCACTTCCAAATTCTATGGAGCGTATCCATAATGTGTTTCATATATCTCAGCTTCGTAGGTATGTTGCAGATCCTTCTCATATTTTATCTCCAGATGAGATAGAGCTGAATGAAGATCTTTCGTATGAAGAAAAGCCTCTGTGGATCATGGACACAAAGGTCCGAACCATGAGGAATCGAGATATTCGTATGGTGAAAGTAATGTGGTCCAGACATGGAGCGGAAGAGGCCACGTGGGAAGTAGAACAAGAAATGTTCAAGGCATACCCACAATTGTTTAATTAAGTTGCCTTGTTATGTGTTCGAGTTTAGATTTCGGGGACGAAATCTTTTTTTAAGGGGGAGTGGATTGTAATGCCCCGATTTCGGAATGTATAAAATAATATTATTATAGCAAATAAATATTTTTATAATATTTTGGAATCAAGAAATTAATATTGTGGAATAAATTTTATTCCTATTTTATATATTGATTATGATTAAAAAGACTGTTAAACGGATAATATCAATGAGGATAAATATAAAATATAATATATAATTTAATAATATAATATAATAAATAAATAAAGAAGATAAAGATGTTAATGTTAATAATAATATAATATAATATAATATAATATAATAATAATAATATAATATATATGTGTATATATATTATACATATATATATATAAAAACAAACAAACCTTACCCGAAACGAAGGAACGCAGAAGACGAAACGCGAAGGAGAAGAAGAAAGGAGAAGAAAAAAAAAAAGGAAGAAAAAGATTTAGCCGTCCGATTCCAATTCCGACTTGGGTATGGTATTCCTTGCTATTCGTAGAGTCCGATTATAAATTTTAATACGAATTTTGATATTGGAGTATTAAATTAGAAATTCTTCAAAAATTCAAAATTGGCTATTTAGCTATTTAATCGATGAATTTCTTTAGCTAATAGCCTATTCGTAGCGCCGACGTTATATTTTGAGAATTTCGTACCAATCCAAGTCGAATAAAAAACGGCAGTATATTGCACCTGCCTGCTTGTTCATACCTTTGCGTATTTTTATTTAATAATCGGGCAATATAAATATTATGAGGTAGAAGGATTTTATAGCTAGAATATCATATTCTACTAAATATAAAAGTTTGGAGCCCGATGAGTTAATTATAGAAATTAGCTTTTGAATAAGCAGGTAGCTCCTGAGAATAAGCATAAAGCTCATCTGATTTGAGTAAATAATGGGACAGGTGTACGTTGGAGGAGATTTGAGTGAAGTTATAAAAATCCAGAAAGTATCGGTAGGAGGTAAGCAGTAGGGAATTAAATCTAATTTTAAGAAATTAGGTATTTATGTTGCATGTGATTCTGATTCTGATATTGATATGATATTATGTGGAATCATTTGGTCAGTGCATCTATATATGTATATATGTGTGTGTATATGCATGTGTGAAACTTCGTTTTACGATATTTGATATACGTATTTGATCGTGTTGGTGAATTTATAAAAAAAGGAGGATAGGTGGGCCGTCTCACCAGCCCTTTTCATTAAATTCACTTATTGACATGCTGCACACATTGCACGATTTATCGGATATGTTTTATGGATCTATCGTTTAGTCGCCGTGTGCGGTAGTGCTAGGCAAGGGCATCATCTGGGGTTAGGGTATTCGACCCCGATGTACCGTAACACTTTGGCGATAGTGGACGATAGTAGTCGGGCAACTGGGTGACTTAGTCGCACGGTCATTCAGGGATTAGACCCATTGCAGTTGAGACGTATTTGGTCTAATCATTCGGATTCGGTGTTGTTCCACTCATTGGAGTAGCTACTAGTGAGGTCTACCGGTAGTTTAGGATCAGATGCCAAACTCCAAACGCGATCCCGTTAGGGCGTGCGAGGAGGAGTAGAGTTTCCGGGTTTCCTTTGGGTGATTCCAGGTTGCACGGATTCTACTACGTTACACGGGGTAGGGCTAGACAGGAGGGTCCTATCTTCGCTATCACAGACTATGGGGTGTCTTGTGGTTAATGGCGACAACGTTCGACTATCCATGTATTGATTGCGGGAGTCGTATGGTGGGTATATGGGAGTGACCGGGTGACCGTTATATTACTATGGGTTTACCAGGTCCTTCCTTGAGCCGAGGATTTTCCGGCTATTTATTGATGATAGTCTAGTGAGCTATTATTATGGAGCCGAGGTTATTCCGGCTGCTCACTTTGACATATGTATATGGGTATATGTGCATGAGTTGTCGATTTTGACATTATTGTTACATTATTTCAGTATGGGCATGGCATGGCATTTATTTTGCAAATGACGGAAATTAAACTCTATTTTCGAGCATGACATGGCATATTTTATGTTAGTTCTTAAAATGGATTTAATTCTAGACTGCTTTTAAGAGAAATATTTGATTCAGGTACGCATGGCACCTCCGGGACAGGGGACGTCTCGGGAGATAGAAAGACGGGCTGAATGAGTGAACTGCATCTGATGTATTATATGTAAATTCTAACTAGAAAAACCTCCCGTTTTGGGAGTATGTTTTTGTAAATATTTATAAACTATTTTTTTTTTGGGAATAATAAAATGCTTATATAATTAATTTTAGCCTTAACACTGTGTTGTGGGGCCCGAAGTAGGAGGTGACGACCTCATGATGCAGTGTGGCGGTAGCATTTCCAGTATGAGCCAACTGGGGGTGTTACACGTATATTGCGAACGAGGATTCGAGCACGGGCGCCGACGAACCCGCGTCAACGGGAGAAGTCGAATGAGCCTTATCGTTTAGAGAAAAGAGAACTCGTTACAATGATTCTAAAGTTGAACCTGCGGAAGGATCATTGTCGATATCTGTCCTGGAAGACAACAGCGAATTCGTGACCCGACGTACGAATGCCGGGCAGGCCGTCCATCGAGACAGAGTGGGCGCCTCAAAAAACTCCTGCGCGGATTTTTTCGCGAATATGTAGGCAGCCAAAATAGATTTCCTGCGATGCCCGTCGCGGCCAAAAATCGCGAACGACGACCTTGTCCGCCGTTCATGGACCCGTCGTCCAGCCGTATATTGCGAACGAGGATTCGCGCACGGGCGCCGACGAACACGCGTCAACACGAGAAGTCGAGTAAGCCTTATCGTTTAGAGAAAAGAGAACTCGTAACAAAGATTCTATAGTTGAACCTGCGGAAGGATCATTGCCGATGTCTGTCCCGGCAGACAACAGAGAATTCGGGACGCGATGTACGAATGCCGGTCAGGCCGTCCATTGGGACAGAGTGGCCGCCCCAAAAATCTCCTGCGCGGATTTTTTCGCGAATATGTAGGCAGCAAAAATGGATTTCCTGCGATGCCCGTCGCGGCCAAAAATCGCGAACGACGACCTTGTCCGCCGTTCACGGACCTGTCGTCCATCCGTATATTGCGAACGAGGATTCGCGCACGGGTGCCAACGAACCAGCGTCAACGCGAGAAGTCGAGTAAGCCTCATCGTTTAGAGAAAAGAGAACTCGTTACAATGATTCTATAGTTGAACCTGCGGAAGGATCATTGTCGATATCTGTCCTGGAAGACAACAGCGAATTCGTGACCCGACGTACGAATGCCGGTAAGGCCGTCCATCGAGACAGAGTGGGCGCCCCAAAAAACTCCTGCGCGGATTTTTTCGCGAATATGTAGGCAGCAAAAATAGATTTCCTGCGGTGCCCGTAGCAGCCAAAAATCACGAACGACAACCTTGTCCGCCGTTCACGGATCCGTCGTCTAGTCGTATATTGCGAACGAGGATTCGCGCACGGGCGCCGACGAACCCGCGTCAACGCGAGAAGTCGAGTAAGCCTTATCGTTTAGAGAAAAGAGAACTCGTAACAAGGATTCTATAGTTGAACCCGCGGAAGGATCATTACCGATGTCTGTCCCGGCAGACAACAGCGAATTCGTGACCCGATGTACGAATGCTGGTTAGGCCGTCCATCGGGACCGAGTGGGCGCCCCAAAAAACTCCTGTGCGGATTTTTTTGCGAATATGTAGGCAGCAAAAATAGATTTCCTGCGATGCCCGTAGCGGCCAAAAATCGCGAACGACAACCTTGTCCGCCGTTCATGAACCCGTCGTCCAGGCGTATATTGCGAACAAGGATTCGCGCACGGGCGTCGACGAACCCGCGTCAACGCGAGAAGTCGAGTAAGCCTTATCGTTTAGAGAAAAGAGAACTCGTAGCAAGGATTCTATAGTTGAACCTGCGGAAGGATCATTGTCGATGTCTGTCCCGGCAGACAACAGAGAATTCGGGACCCGATGTACGAATGCCGGTCAGGCCGTCCATCGGGACAGAGTGGGCGCCCCAAAAAACTCCTGCGCGGATTTTTTCGCGAATATGTAGGCAGCAAAAATGGATTTCCGGCGATGCCCGTCGCGGCCAAAAATCGCGAACGACGACCTTGTCCGCCATTCACGGACCCGTCGTCCAGCCGTATATTCCAAACGAGGATTCGCGCACGGGCGCCGAAGAACCCGCGTCAACGCGAGAAGTCGAGTAAGCCTTATCGTTTAAAGAAAAGAGAACTCGTAACAAGGATTCTATAGTTGAACCTGCGGACGGATCATTGCCGATGTCTGTCCCGGCACACAACAGCGAATTCGTGAGCCGATGTACGAATGCCGGTCAGGCCATCCATCGGGACAGAGTGGGCGCCCCAAAAAACTGCTGCGCGGATTTTTTCGCGAATATGTAGGCAGCAAAAATGGATTTCCTGCGATGCACGTCGCAGCCAAAAATCGCGAACGACGACCTTGTCTGCCGTTCACGAACCCGTCGTCCAGTCGTATATTGCGAACGAGGATTCGCGCCGACGATCCCGCGTCAACGTGAGAAGCCGAGTAAGCCTTATCGTTTAGAGAAAAGAGAACTCGTAACAAGGATTCTATAGTTGAACCTGCGGAAGGATCATTGTCGATGTCTGTCCCGGCAGACAACAGAGAACTCGGGACCCGATGTACGAATGCCGGTCAGGCCGTCCATCGGGACAGAGTGGGCGCCCCAAAAAACTCCTGCGCGGATTTTTTCGCGAATATATAGGCAGCAAAAATGGATTTCCTGCGATGCCCGTCGCGGCCAAAAATCGCGAACGACGACCTTGTCCGCCGTTCACAGACCTGTCGTCCATCCGTATATTGCGAACGAGGATTCGCGCACGGGTGCCGACGAACCAGCGTCAACGCGAGAAGTCGAGTAAGCCTTATCGTTTAGAGAAAAGAGAACTCGTAACAAGGATTCTATAGTTGAACCCGCGGAAGGATCATTGCCGATGTCTGTCCCGGCAGACAACAACGAATTCGTGACCCGATGTACGAATGCTCGTCAGGCCGTCCATCGGGACAGAGTGGGCGCCCCAAAAAACTCCTGTGCGGATTTTTTCGCGAATATGCAGGCAGCAAAAATAGATTTCCTGCGATGCCCGTCGCGGCCAAAAATCGCGAACGACGACCTTGTCTGCCGTTCACAAACCCGTCGTCCATTCATATATTGAGAACGAGGATTCGAGCACGGGCGCCGACGAACCCGCGTCAACGGGAGAAGTCGAGTAAGCCTTATCGTTTAGAGAAAAGAGAACTCGTAACAATGATTCTATAGTTGAACCTGCGGAAGGATCATTGTCGATATCTGTCCTGGAAGACAACAGCGAATTCGTGACCCGACGTACGAATGCCGGTAAGGCCGTACATCGGGACAGAGTGGGCGCCCCAAAAAACTCCTGCGCGGATTTTTTCGCGAATATGTAGGCAGCAAAAATAGATTTCCTGCGGTGCCCGTAGCGGCCAAAAATCACGAACGACAACCTTGTCCGCCGTTCACGGATCCGTCGTCTAGTCGTATATTGCGAACGAGGATTCGCGCACGGGCGCCGACGAACCCGCGTCAACGCGATAAGTCGAGTAAGCCTTATCATTTAGAGAAAAGAGAACTCGTAACAAGGATTCTATAGTTGAACCCGCGGAAGGATCATTACCGATGTCTGTCCCGGCAGACAACAGCGAATTCGTGACCCGATGTACGAATGCTGGTTAAGCCGTCCATCGGGACAGAGTGGGCGCCCCAAAAAACTCCTGTGCGGATTTTTTTGCGAATATGTAGGCAGCAAAAATAGATTTCCTGCGATACCCGTAGCGGCCAAAAATCGCGAACGACAACCTTGTCCGCCGTTCACGGACCCGTCGTCCAGGCGTATATTGCGAACAAGGATTCGCGCACGGGCGTCGACGAACCCGCGTCAACGCGAGAAGTCGAGTAAGCCTTATCGTTTAGAGAAAAGAGAACTCGTAGCAAGGATTCTATAGTTGAACCTGCGGAAGGATCATTGTCGATGTCTGTCCCGGCAGACAACAGAGAATTCGGGACCCGATGTACGAATGCCGGTCAGGCCGTCCATCGGGACAGAGTGGGCGCCCCAAAAAACTCCTGCGCGGATTTTTTCGCGAATATGTAGGCAGCAAAAATGGATTTCCGGCGATGCCCGTCGCGGCCAAAAATCGCGAACGACGACCTTGTCCGCCATTCACGGACCCGTCGTCCAGCCGTATATTCCAAACGAGGATTCGCGCACGGGCGCCGAAGAACCCGCGTCAACGCAAGAAGTCGAGTAAGCCTTATCGTTTAAAGAAAAGAGAACTCGTAACACGGATTCTATAGTTGAACCTGCGGACGGATCATTGCCGATGTCTGTCCCGGCACACAACAGCGAATTCGTGAGCCGATGTACGAATGCCGGTCAGGCCATCCATCGGGACAGAGTGGGCGCCCCAAAAAACTCCTACGCGGATTTTTGCAAATATGTAGGCAGCGAAAAGGGATTTTTTGCGATGCACGTCGCGGCCAAAAATCGCGAAAGACGACCTTGTCCGCCGTTCACGGACCCGTCGTCCAGCCGTATATTGCGAACGAGGATTCGCGCACGGGCGCCGACGAACCCGCGTCAACGCGAGAAGTCGAGTAAGCCTTATCGTTTAGAGAAAACAGAACTCGTAACAAGGATTCTGTAGGTGAACCTGCGGAAGGATCATTTTCGATGTCTTTCCCGGCAGACAACACCGAATTCGTGACCCGACGTACGAATGCCGATCAAGCCGTCCATCGAGACAGAGTAGGCGCCCTAAAAAACTCCTGCACGGATTTTCGTGAATATGTAGGCAGCAAAAATAGATTTCCTGCGATGCACGTCGCGGCCAAAAATTGCGAACGACGACCTTGTCCGCCGTTCACGGATCCATCGTCCAACCGTATATTGCGAACAAGGATTCGCGCACGGGCGCCGACGAACCCGCGACAACGCGAGAAGTCGAGTAAGCCTTATCGTTTAGAGAAAAGAGAACTCGTAACAAGGATTCTATAGGTGAACCTGCGGCATGATCATTGTCGATGTCTGTTCCGGCAGACAACAACGAATTCGTGACCCGACGTACGAATGCCGGTCAGGCCGTCCATCGACACAAAGTGGGCGCCCCAAAAAACTCCTGCGCGGATTTTTTCAAATATGTAGGCAGCAAAAAGGGATTTTCTGCGATGCACGTCGCGGCAAAAAATCGCGAACGACGACCT